TTTTTTACAACAATTAAAATAAGAACAAATTACATCCCATAAATGAAATAAGCAAAATTTCAAATAAAATTAATCATGCAAAACGTAATTGTAAAATATAAATTTAAATTTCAGTGTCTTACTTCTTTGCGAAATTATTTAATGAAAATATCAATTATTATGCACTAATTTTCCTGGCTTTGAATTATAATTACTTTAAATCTTCTCCTATTTCTTGTATTTCCAGCCTTGCTTTGACAGTTTTGATTGCACTTCATAAAGAACTGTAATGTAGACCTGAAATAAAATGGAAAAAAAAACTATATAAATTAAGAAAAAAAATTTTTTGGCATCGTTGAAGAAGCGTACGTTTATCCTATACACGTACCCTATACACGTTTTTTATCTTTAACATGCCATTTGTTGTTGTAGTAGGCGAGAGTGCGATTGTTCTTGTTTTCCAGTGGCGCCATCTGTGGTCAAGAATTTGACTTCTGGCACACCCGTTTATAGGGCGGAAACATTCATACATCCATTCATTCGTCCACAGATCGTAATTTTGACTTGAATCAGAGAACGATCTCCAATTCAGTACCTCCAGAGGTATAAATTGTTATGGGAACATGGAGGACTTCCTGACGCAACAGATTTAACGTGCAGCAATTACTATTTATTACACGGGGGAGTCTTCGGCCAACCGGATTCGAATTCCCGTTCTCAGGAGCGTGAGCTCAGCGCCGTGCGAAGAAGGCTATCCAGCCAACATGTTTTATTCCTTCTTATGAGGACACTATATTGCGGAAGTAACCGTTCTTGGCAAAGTCTCTTTAAACCAATATTGGCAATTTAAATTTATAGAAAAAAATCGAGTTCAAGCAAGCCAAAGGAAAATTATAAAGTTTCATACATTGATTTTTTTACTCCAAATTTTTAAATTGCAAACAAATTAAAAAAAATTGTGACAGGATTACTTACCTTTTCCTAAACAGTAGTTAACCCAGTCATAACTCGTGTGCTATTTGATAGTTTGGAGACTTTTATTTAAAACTTCATAATTTACTCTTGGTTTATATGAAATAATTTTTTTTCTTTTTTCCTTACTTTAAAATTTGAATAACCTATGTAATTTAAAGATAATTTGCCATGAAGGATTTCTTTCGGGATATATCTCCCTCTAAAAAAATAATACAAATAAAACATGATTTTTGCTTCGTGGTGAAGAAATTTGAAGGAGTTTTGACTGCACATGGTTGTGGATTCGGAGTTGAAGACAATATTGTAATTGCAGGAGTCTGAAAGATTTGTTTGACTGCAACCTCAGTTAAAATTTATGTTCTATCTCGTGGGAAAGAAGAAATAATTTAAGGATAGAAGGAAAGAAAATATAACTCAAATGAAAATATGAAAATTATTGGAATTAAAATTTATCACAAAACTACTATTTCTTAACATTATAATAACATGTTTAGCATTATAATAACATTTTAATTTGTTTGATTGAATTATTGAAGTAAAAAACAGAACGCAATTGCAAAATTTAAATTAGTAAACTATGAAGAAAAAAAAACATGAAACAACTAAAAAGTAACGAAACTAATGAAGTATTAATCAGGTATATTTTTATTCAAGAATTCCAAATGTCTAATAGCTACGTTTGCAGAAATGAGTGTTCAGCGTGCAAAAAATAAACGGACCACACTGAATAACTTTTGACATAATGCTCGGATCTTCACTTTAAGAGTTTCAATTTTAATGGTTTGAGGATGCTAATTAGTTAGTTCAGACGAAATTTAAAGTTACGATATTTAAAATTATGTACACAAAATCTTACTTTCTCTGAATAAACATACTTTTATTTCGATGGATTTGGACTTCTGACCCCCAAAATGTATTAGGTAACAGGAAAATATGATCCTAATAGTTTGGTCAAGAAAGCGTTCGGACTCCTTAATGTTAATTTTACTATTTACATATTTCATCACATCTCGCAAGTTTTTTATGCGAATTGGAAAATATTTTCACAGAATCATTAAATTCGCTTATTCAAAGATCATAATATGAAATTTAATAAACATTTATATTTTGCTTACAAAGCAAAATATAAAATTTAATAAATATTTGTTATTTTTAATTATTTTATTTAATAAAATTTTATTGGTAAGGCATACAATTTTTACAAAATTCAAATGGCAAAATACAAAATTTGTGCGAAATCGATCGAATAGTTCCTGTGAAATCAAATTTAAAATTTACGATTTTTTTCAAAATTTGATTAATTACCATACCGTTCAATTAATTAGCATGTTTTAGGCCACCCCTTCGAACCTTTTATACTGAATTCTGGAACGTGAAGATCCTATAATTCGATTAAAAATAATTCACGGTGGTCCGATTTTTTTGTTTTCTCGCTCGTTCGATATCTGCAAAATACTGATATCCATTTCTTTTCCTATAATGATTTTGCCTAACTACAATATTTTGTACAAGCGTCTTTTTTTAATTTATTTATTCAATTTTCATGCTATAATATAACTTAAAAAATTTCAATTCAAATTGTAGATAAAATATTAATTTTAAATTTACATTTGGTAAAGATTTCCTTGTAGTTTAGAAGACCCTTCCTGTTCTGACTGAACATAATTGTGGAAGGGGTTAAAGCAGGAAAGGAAAATTCTAAATTTTCTCTTATTATACTTTATTTAATTTTCACTACTAAACTGATGGTGGATATTTACTATATTCGACAGCATCTCTCAATACATGTAAAATACAAGGCCGCCACCCAATTACAATTTGAGATATAAAGCATACAATATTTTATTTAATTTTTCTGACACAATTATGGTAATAAAATTCTGCAATCAGCAGTTTTTGATGGGTAGTTAAACAATATACAGTTTTTTAGATCTTTTATAAGTATCTTTGTTTTTATGCACTTAACGTTGAAAGAATTTCTTAGCATCATCCAAATCCATTTTCATCAGTTTAAACGGTAATAAATTAAGATTTTGACAAGTATAAAAATTGATAAACATTTAGTTTTAAACGACTTTCTCAAAACGATAAATTGCATCATTTTAGAGTTTTGAGGAAAAACTCATAAGAGTTCTAAGAATTATCAGGCACTATTTCTCCTTATCTAATAAAGCGACCCCTTTATTTCCCATCTTTTTTTAAAGGTATAGTGCAGTCAAATGTAACTTATCATCGAAAGTTTGTTAAATACAAAAGAAAATGGGGAAACTCAAATTAAAAATTTATCTTAAAATTCAAGATGTCGAGGAACCAAGTTCTCTGAAAGGTTTAGAGTCGGAGTCGTGTTCTTTGAAAAGTACGTAGTTGGACATTTCTACTACCCACTCCGCAGCTTTGGCAACGACAAGCAGTTTTATTTTGTTTTCATCAATTGTGCTTTCAAATTAACAATTGATCACATATCAATTCGAAGTACTTAATTGATTTGTTTTGAATTGAAATAAAATTCATAATAAAACTGCTAATGCACTTATTTAGGAAAAACTTGCTTTGTTATTAACTCTCAACACTTGGAAAGAGAGAGTTCAAAGAAACCGGCGTTTTCCCCCAGAGTCACAAATGTGTCGTCGAAGCCTTAAATTTGGTTCCACAGTAAATAAATCAGCGGAGCTGCAAATCTCTCGTGCCTTATCGTGATTCTTTCGTTTAGCGGTGCAAAGGTGTAAAAAGATGGAAGTTAGTTTTATTCTCACCCCCGCACCTTTTCCATCACAGCTTATTTCACGGGATTGTTTTTTAAACAACATGTCACGTATCTAAACTCCGTATCTTTATGGATTTACAAATGTTTCATAGACGAAAAACACTTTAAAATAAATTACTTTTGTATTAATGAATTTTATGAAAATACCACCTTCTGTTCGCTATTGTCGGAAAACCTCCAGAACTAAACATTCTGGGATGATATTGCCTGGATGATATTGCGTTTAAAAGTTCCGGCACTCGGGTCAGGGTACTTTTAATGTCGGTACTTTTTACCCTAATTTTTGCAGTAATATTTATTTAATTAGAGTGGTTCAATGATTTTACGGTAATTATTATTGTAAAAATTACGAATTATCAAACATTTACAGTAATAATTACCGTAAAATCACTGAAATCACTCTAATTAAATAATTGTTACTGTAAAAATTGCGGTACAGTATTTTATAGTAAAAAAGGTTTTACGGTAATATGGATTTTACGGATGATGCACCCAAAGTTCTTTATATTGATGAGTGATGTAAAAAGTTCTTTATATTGATGAGTGATGTAAAAAGTTCTTTACATTGATGAGGGATGTAAAAAGTTCTTTATATTGATGATGTAAAAAGTTCTTTATATTGATGAGTGATGTGAAAAGTTCTTTATATTGATGAGTGATGTAAAAATTTCTCTATATTGATGAGTGATGTAAAAAGTTCTTTATAGCGTAATTTGATCCAAAACTTTTTACAGTGTACAAAAATATTATTGTCTGGCTTTGTATGAATATTGGTACTTAGTTTAATACAAAAAATATATAACATATATCATGCGAAATCATTTGATTCGCTTACATTCCATGCACGATTATATTTTGATTCAAATACATTTTGTTTAAGTTATACGCTTTTCACGACTACTTGGAAACTTCGTTTGAAACAAATAAAACTTAAATTTCTTTTTTATATATATATATATACACATTTCTGCAAATTCTTAGAATTTCCTCATATACTGCTTACAAAACCAAAGAAGAAAAAGTAAAGTGTATGAAGAAATGCATGGTTAAAAAGAAGTTGGTAACAAGAAAAGTAGAATTCCAGGGTTTAAAAAAGAAAAAAGAAAATTGCTAATCTGAAAAATTCATAGCATTTTCCTACATCACTTTAGCAAATTCGGAAATTATGACAGTTGGGAGATTCAACAGTGTCAGAATCAAAGGATTCTACTTTAGAAATACCTACATGCAGCTAAAACTAATTTATCATGAAAGCAAAAATATAAGTCTGAACTCTGCAATCAGCATATATAAATACGCATAAATAAAACAAAAATATAGAACAGTTTCTTTATTAGCATGAACAGTTCGCTTCCACTTCTGATTTCTGCTCAGCTTATAGCGCAATTTGTTTCCGTTTTCTGTTGCCAACGCAAGAATAGTATTTTTATCGATTTTGTAAGCACATATGTAAAAATGTTTTAAGTAAAATATAGATAGTTGCACTTGAAACTATCAAAATATTTATAAATAGATATCTCTTTCAATGTTTCTTTTTCATCAGCATTTTGGCTTCCTTATCAGCATTAAATAAATAATTCCCAAGAAGCTGAAGAGGTAAGATATTACTTGATTAAAAGCTACATTCGCTTAAAAAATATGTAATTTGGAAATAACAAGTGCTCAAAAATACACGATATCCCTACATCAGAACAGAAAAACAAAACAAGAAAAACGCGTCTGCTACTTTGGTTTTTCTAGTTTTGTTTCTCATCATAATTCCTCCATTTTTCGTTGGCAACTTTACTTTTTATATTTCAAATCACTTTTATTTCTTCCGATTCACGTCTGGTAAGTCTTGAAAATGGGCGCCCATTTTTGAGAACTTGAAACCTGTCGACTCTTTTTGTACATTTTGTACAATTTGTACATTTTTGGAGCAAATGAAATCATTAATCAAGCGTTATCTTTATCAGAAGTTTCAAAACAAAAATAATAGTAAAAATATTTAATAAGAACTAGACTTTAAAAAAAAAATTTAAAAAAAGCCGTTCCGTTTACAGAGTCGTAGAATAATAGAATTTAAATTTTACTTGCAATTCGAATGTTCTGACCAACGCATAAAACATACAATTTTCAGAATTAAGAACACTTGGGGTATCAAAACTCAAATATAGTCACCAAAACAAAGCATAGCATGCACAGAAGGGATTTATTAATATTTCAAAAACATCCTCAGTCACCCTAATCAAAAGCATAGAATCAATCTGTTTCACTGCCTTTTTCCAACTGTGCCCACCCTGAAAAGAAGGAGCAAAGGGATCCCAGATGGCCGATAGCACCCATGTTTTTCGCCCCCTTCTCAACTTTCCGCCTTTTGAAGTAAATTAAGGCTATTGTTCACATAAAGGATTCAACACCTGTTTTACAACGAGTGAGTGAGTGACTTGTGCATCAAAACTGAATGTATACATTTCTTTCACCGTTTGAGCATTTTAGTTAATGATGCTAAAACATTTTTTTCTTTTCATTTTGAATTTTCAAAGCTTCTTTTTAAAACTTCAATATCTTTCTATTCGGTTTTTTTTTTTATTAAAATGATTTGAAAAAAAAGAAAAAAATTAAAGACTAAATTAGTAAAATAAAACGAATTATAAAAAGTATGATGCAATAAGCTAAAATTAAATAACGCAAAATAAAACCAAATGCAACACTGTAAAATAACTCGCGATGGAATTATTTTCTACAAAACAATTCAGTGAAACAGACAGGAAGTTTTGTTTTAAAAAAATGCATAGTTAAGTAACGCAAAATAAAACAATTACAACACAATAAAATATCACCCGAATATTGTCAATGAAATAATTAATTTCACGATAACGTTAAAAAGTTTTTTGTTTTAAAAAAACGCATAATCAAAAGACACTTAATAAAATAAATGCAACACAATAATATATGATGATATCATAAGATAAAATTATTTCCAATAAAATAATTAAAGTAATTAAACCGGTAGAAAGTTTTGTATTAAAAAAACGCGTTGAATAACATTACAACTATGAAGAACTCAGTCATTATAGATATAAAGGTAATTAATTTTCAAACGCTTTAAGTTTACAACGTGTTCATTCACTACAAAAACATTTTTCCCTAACTTCATTTTACTCTTTAACTGAACTGGATCACTATATACAATGTGATATGATTGACAAAAAATATTTTTATAATTTATTTATGTATATTTTTTATGCATGATAATAAATATAACTTTATGCAAATACAAACAGAATATATTTCTAAAAAAAATTATTATTAAGAAAATTTTTATTATTAAAAATTAAATTGGAAAATTCAGTTAAAAATTAAGAAATAAAATAAACTATTAATTTTTTTTACTAATCCATCCAATAAATCCAGCGATTTATAATCCACTCCATTTTATTAACTTATTTAATAAAGAAAATTAATTTATTGCTTCTAATTATTTGGCGGTACCATTATTGCTAAAACCATTATTGCCACTTTGTGCTGTTAATATAAAATGCATACTATTATAGACTCTTTATGCAGGAAGTTCCATGTTCAACGATTTTTATCTATGCGTCTTAAATTCTTTGTCTTAAACTAATTATAATGCATACACTTTTGATGTTAATTAATATTAAAGGTAGGTAGAAATTAAAAGTACCAAAACCAGTTTGATTGCGTGAAGGAACAGAAAAAGGTCTAAATATGACAGCCTAAGTTTCAACCAGCAACCTAACAGACAAGTTTCAACCAGGCAGCAAAATGCCTTCTTCGATAGTGATTTGTTGCATTTTGGTAGCTTTTTTTTTATTTTTTACTTGCTTAAACATTCATTTAAATGTGCATACTTTTCTCAAATTCGTTTTTAAACTTGGATTTTTTAAATATCCGATAAGGATTTTAGTTGCAGAATTTTACTTATTTATTCACGCTGAAGTGTAAATATTTTTAACAAAGCAGCTCATATTCTGACACACGTATGCAATGTGTAAGAATGAAATGAAGTAAGACGCTATCTATGCGTTTACGAATATAAAAATAAAATCCTTCTAGTTTTATTTGTACAAAATTAAGTTTGAAAAATTAAAACTTACGTTCCTACAGCGACTGGACATCCACTTCTTTCATTTTTATTTCCACAACCACAATTCTGTTTAATGCAACGCCTAAAAATAAAATTGGAACAAAATAGGAGGGAAATGATTTAAACACATTAAAGCAATCCAGGGCATTAAAGCAAAAAGCGAAGAAATTTTATTTCAAACAAAGATTTAAGCATCATAAACCTTAGCTACTGAAATTCGGCTCATTGTTTCATTCACCAGATAAAATTGTCTTCATCTTAATACATAAATGTCATTTCATAATACCATTTATTGATTCGCTTTTAATACATACTTTAAGAATAGTTGGGAAAAAATAGTTTGAAAAAAAAAAACAATTAACTATACGAGTCGCAAATTATCATAGTCCAAGAGAAAAGCAAATCAAACAAAATAACTTTAACCATTTACTACGTTAAAAATAATTAATTTCAAGAACAATAATATTTACAGATAATTAATTATAATAATAATATAATTAAGTGCAATAAAGAATTGTAATTCATGAATAAAATCATGATAATTAGTTATAAAATTAATAATGATTAATTGCGATATTAACTGCAATATTATTTAGTTAATACATTATAGTTACATAATTGATTATAAGTAAACTAATTGCAAATATGAAGACAGAAAGTTGGCTGATTGCCACTTTATAATTTCATTGCCATTATTGACGGTTACCAAAAGTATCATTAAAATTTTCATATTAAGTCTGTTTTATTACTGAAACATAATTTTTTTCTTTTATATCTTGGAGCATTATCTGGTAACAACTAAAAAATTTAAAAAAAGTTTATTTGAAAAATGACAATTTACTCAGAATTAAAACTGCAAAAAGAATCATTTTGATATACTTTACCAAGAAAATTATTCAAAAGGTAATACGGATTTTCCTAATGAAAGAAAAAATATCCTTTTCATCAATATATCTTCAAATTTTATCGAAATAAAATATATCAACCAGTTTTCTTATATCATTTCATATTTCTGCTTCTTAAACTATTACTTTAATTTTTAAAAAAAATTTAATTGATCAAAACACTATTCTGCATTAATAAAATAATTTTTATTAAATAAAAGCTATTATCAATCATAATAGTTTTTGTCATATTTTACTGAAAAATAAATATTGATAGAGTAATAAAAAGACTAGTAATAGATATACGAAAAAAAATTGAGGTATATTATTTACTTCCTTATAATACTAGCAAAATGGGTAATCATTATTCGTGATAAATTCGAGTTAATTTCGAGATAAATTGCTGGTATTAATAGAATAACATAATTTTGCTATAGATCGTAATATTTCTCCACTGAAACTTATTTAGATTGTTGTAAATTGTTTAACATTTTCGATGCTCAAATGAAGTGTATCAATCAATACTCATGGTAATATCATATTCGATATTATATATTTTTGTGGATAATGATTTCACTATTTACTTTTCTATAATCATCCGCTTTATCAGGGTATATAATTATTGTTTATTAGATATTTATATCATAATAACAGGTATTCATGATAGATCATGAAAATACTTTTTAAAATATCGTTGCCGTGTTGTTTAAAATTATAAATATTTCCCGACTTTTTAGCTACCGTGATATCTTATAAAATACAATACTTACTGGCAGGTCATTTCATGGGTTAAAAGTACACGCCTCTTTAAAACATCACTTTCTTCATTTTCAAAAACAACTACCTATTTGAAAATAAATATAATTTAAAAGGCTAGAAATTATGACTAATGATAAAATTAAGATTAATGATGGAATTATATGACAATTTTTAATTTTGTACAAAACAATTAGAGATTTTTGTATAATTTTAACAAGTTTTACATTATTAATTTTCATCAAAATATTTACGTTTACTCACCTCTTCAGTCTGACTGTCGACCATCCACACAAATATGTTACTCTCCCACACATGGTGATTTTCTGTTGCTAGGATAACATAAAGAAATTGAAGATCATAGAGAACTATGAGAACATGTGGAAATATGCATCATTTTAATGATCAATTAATACTAATGTGAAAAATGCGCAAAATAAAAAATGCAACAACTGAATAATTTTTGATATAAAAGGATAGTATAGTTTCAGAACATAATTTAAATGTTCCGATTTCTTTTTATAATGATAAACACACATGTTTCTTATTACATATTAATATTTTGTTAAAAAATATTAACTTAAAGTTACTTGTAGTAATCGAAATTTTGGTATTTGTTTCTTAGTTTAATAGAATACTTTCACATTACATATTACAAAGAATAATGTTCTTGCATAATAGCAAGGCTTGCTTGTCAGAAAGTTCCATTAAATCTACGCAGCAGTTTTCAGTTGGTGCCCTATCAATTATGGAAAGTGAAAAGCTACATTTTCGGCATATTTTACTTTTTTTACTATCGGAAAGGTAAGTAATTTATCCGATGTGTGCTGAGAGGATTGTGCCAAAACTGGTTTGCAAAATTTCGATCCGGCAATTTCGATGTTGAAGATGCACCATAAAGTTGCATGGAAGGCCAGATGGAGCTGCGTTCACAATAAAGGAACTATTACAGATAATCGATGAATAACAGCGGGTGAGATCCCTGAGAGATTAATTTTATTGAATTGGATCTTTCATGATCGTTTGAAAAGTCTAGCTTTAATTTACAATCTTGACATACGGATTCCTCGTGTTCTTACGGAACGAAATTAGTACTGTCGTTTATGATTTGCTTCTCAAACTTTAAGAAAAGGATCCATTTTAATCACTGGGGACCAAAAATGGGTTATCTACAACAATATTAAAGTCTCTACAGAAAATTTTAACCTCTCAGCAAATAATCAAAACATTTTACTTCAAATAAGGAGGTCAAAAATCAAACAGATCAGTTTTTTTTTTTTTTTTTTTTTTTTTTTTTTTTTTTTTTTTTTTTTTTTTTTTTTTTTGCTATCAAAGAACAAAAATTTTATGAGCGTGGAATCATGCTACAGCCAGAAAGAGGGCAAAAAGTATTGAACCAGAATGGACAGTATATGATTAAATAGAATATTTATTTCCTATAAGAAAATCATCTTGCATTTTCTTAATAAAAAGTAGAAAGAAAAAAAAAGAAAAAAATGAAAAAAAGGCAAAATTAACTTTCCGAACTATTCAATACGTTGAACTTACAAAATATCTAATAGAAAGGAAAATATTTCAGTTAAAATTAATTAATAAAAAGGTGTAATTTCAATTCATTAATTTTTAAGTGCAAGAATTGTTAACATAATATAAAAAATATTTCAAGAAATTTTTATTTTGTTATTTTCAAAAATATGTAGAATAATTTAGTTTTTAAATTCCCTAGGCTTGCATTATAATTATTATATATTATGCATTATTGTTATTAATAATAATAAAATTTTTGCTCCATAGTGGGTAAGCATAAGGAAGCTCGCACTAAGAAAACTAAGTCTTCGAAAAAAATAAAAAAAGAAAGAAAAGAAAAATATTTTCAATCTCAACGTGTGGCAGAATATCTCAATTTGTATTCTGTCGGAACTTTTAAAATGTCGTTGAGTATTAAGATCTCTTTTCTAACACTAGAACACACTTTTATGGCTGCGTTGAAAGAATTAGTAGCTATAGATCACTCCTCCCTTGAAGTCGAGATTTTTTTTCTATGAAAAAAAATTTTTTTTTAATCTGATGTAGTAAAAAGGAAGAGTAGAGAAAATACTGAAAGATTTACTGCTGTCTTACACCCTCCCCCTCGTTTTTTTCACTCCTAAACAGTGATGAAGGATTTGGAAGAAGCATTATGAGAAACAAGTGTAATTTAGGGTTTTAAAGAGCATGAAAATATTATCCCTATTGCAAAATATAATTATAACATGTCGGATAAACCAAAAGCTTCCCGTAAACCCTAACGTTGTTTTATATTTAAAGAAAAAGTAAAAAGGCGGAAATAACTTCCATATCTGCTAACTGATTTTATATCCTTTGAATTTCAGAAAAAATATGTTTTTTTTATTTATTTATTTGAATACAATTGTATGCTATTTTTTACGTGACATGAATGATATATAAACTTTTTACTTAATTTTTATATTTTGATTTAAAAAAGTCTTCAGCTCATCCAAAGTTTTTGAAGCAGATCATTGATCATACCTTTCAGCTGCGGTTCCTAACTTCTATTCGGCTATGGAACCCTAAATAATCGACATTCTTTTGGTGGAACCCCGTCTTCATTACTAACTGCGAACGTATTAACCAATGAAAATCAACTCGCTATTCTGATGAAAATAAGAGGAAAAATTTTTCATCTTATTTTCAAGCCTTCACCAAAAATTTAAGAACTTTTTGAAATTTTTTGCAATGGCTGAAATTTTTTTTATCTTTGTATCAATCAACCATAGACCTGAAATTAGGTTTGGTCGTTTCAATTGAATTTTCAGGCCTAGAATGTTAAGCTCTGATTTTTNTTTTTTTTTTTTTTTTTTTTTTTTTTTTTTTTTTTTTTTTTTTTTAATGTATACACGAAGTTAGTAAATTTATTTACAACCTAAAAGTTAAATGGAAAATACTAATGCAATTTTTCATGATTTATACTTTTGTGCATAATTTATTTAATGCATATGTTATTAAGAAATATCTATGCGTTTTCAAAAACATATTTCTATTTTTTTCTCAATTTTACTTAAATAATCATCACTTAATACTACATCACTTAAAAGTAAAAATAAATTTTTTAATTTGATCAAAAAAATGTAAAATATTTGCCAATAAAATTACCGGTATTCAACAGTAAAAAACATTAAATATTTACCAAGTGCTAATATGAATTTAAGAATTTAAGCAAACCAAATACAAAATTTTAACTTAATAGATTTATTGGAAGTCAAGAAATTTTGTGCTCAAAGTGAAAAAAATTGAATTGAGAAAAACAGATTTAAACAGCAAAACTTTGAATAAAAAACTTTAAACAAAATATGAGAGCTGTCCATTACAATATAGGAAATGGATGTGATATTTTCTGTTTTCAGTGAGTCGTGGTTTATAAATATTTTTGCTGTAACTTTGAAAGTTTTTTTAGTATTATCTTATACTTGACAACTTGCAGAGTTTAGAACAGGTTATAAAAAAAAATTTCTTCAAAAAAATTTAAAATTTTATAAGGTAAGACACAATCTAGTTCCAAATGTTTACAAATAAAAGCAATCCATTCAGCACGTCAAATTTCAATTTAGCTGTATTTCTAAGGACTGCAGAGTTACACACATGTTGTTTTTTACTATGTTTAATAATAAATATAGTAGAGGTTTAATCGTATAAGAACTAATTCTTATACTAATTAAACTGCTTATATTTTTTCAAAAAAAAAAAATACATAAATAAATAAGAACACTATAACTTACCTCCATTTAATTCTTTGAACTTTATTTTGTAGCCAATGCCATTGTTTTTTTCTAACTCCTAACAAAGGAAAAGAAAACATTAATGAATTTAAAATTACGATTTAAATTGCTTAGATGAATTTTTGACCGCAAAGTTGATTTTTTTAATAAAAATATTAGTTCGGATGTTAATAACGATTGGAAAGGTAAACATTTGAGTTGAAAAAAATTATGGTTCAAAGTACGAATATTGTGGTTCAACTAATTTTCTCTGATTTTAAGTATGAGTACAATTTCTTTATATTTATACACTAATGAACTTGTTAATGAATTAATCCCCAGAGTAAAATAACATACAATTTAATAATAGTACAAATAAAAAAATTTATGCGGTTTTTTTTTATCTCTTTTTAACAGCAGCTCAAAAATAATAATTCGAGTTTTAATGTTTCCTATAATACAAAATTTACAAGCAAAATGCAATTAAAAAATCATTGATGTAAAAAAATAATAATTTATTGTTTGCATTTGAAGTAATTCAAGTACAAAATATAATATTTTTTTCCTTTAATATATTTATGGGAAGGATTTTGGGACAACATAGTGATAAAGCACACTTTTAGGAAAGGTGGAATTTTGTTCATCACATACTCTTCTTTAGTATTGACTCCAGATAGGTACGTTACAAATCCAAAACAGCATGATATACAAAAAATATTATATTACAGAGAATTGAGTTGTTTTTCAACGAAAATACTCTCTTGAATAATTCGAAAATGTGACTTATCATTAAGTTGCTCTTCATGTATTCTAGATAACAACTCCACAGACTCCTGGTGGGGCACTTACCATAGGGGCTGATAGAGTTCACTATAAGTAGGCTCATAAGTGGACACATCAGGTGTCTCTCTTTTGAGCTTGGGCGAGAGACCTATTCAACGTGCACGAGGTGTAACTCTGCACAGGCTTCTCCCGATCACATTTTACACTGTCTCTTGGTCTGGAAAAGAAAGACCTCTACTCTGGTCCCTTACATGTATATGATTTCCTCAAGACTTTCGAGCTCATTGACTTGGTCTAGCCTGCGGCTGACCAAGAGGAATAAGTCAACAACAACAACAGATAACAACTTAAAAACCAGCTATGGTTAACGTAGTTTTGCTTTTCCAGGCATTAATTTTTCGTGTTACGTGTTTATTAAAAACTAATAAATGTCATTTATTTCTATGAACATTTTCAAGGAAAATAATTTTTAAAAAATGACCAAACAATTTAATGATATTGAAAATTCTTATGATAATAATAATTGATAAAAATGAATAATTGAAATAGAAATTAATAATTGAAAAATAATATAAAAGAAATATTTTTATAACTTTTATTCCTGTTGAAATAGCTGCTGATTCAATTGCTGATAAACTGATTGATACCACATATCTAAAAATTGATTCCTTTATTTTACGATAAATGTGTAAATGTAGTTTCACAAAAATAAGTTGATATGAAGGTGCAAATTAGCATAAGATGTTAAATTGAGCCATGATGTTGTTCAAGTTGAATCATAGTGTCTGGTAATGTCATTTATTCAATGAATATTTGCAAAACAAAAAGTTAAAGAAAATAATTGAAAAGATCAATGAAAAGTTTTAAAACCTAAGATCTAAGTTAAAAAACTGAAAAATAAAAATGAACAATCAAAAAATGGCATCAAAAGGCAATTAATATATATATATATATATATATTTTTAAAGTTTACTTTCAGTTGAAACAGCTACTGATTCAATTGGTGATTGACGTCACATATTTAAAATTGATTCCTGTGATTTTTATCAATGTTTCAAATTTAATAGTTCAAGAAAATTAAGGTGACAATTTTATTTAAGTAATAAAAACGAATGATTTTTTTTTCGATTTGTGTTTACATTTACAAAAAAATTAATAAAAAAATAATAAAATATGGATTTAGAATTTTAAAACTGTATATTCTACTAATGTTTTTTTCCCTTAAACTAAATAGGGTTTTTTTCTTATTTATTTATATATTTTGCTTCTTTTAGTGGAACACATTTTCTGCATTCCTCTGCAACGGATAGTTGAGTTTCTTTATTGTACCCACATACTAATAGTTTTGACGTGCAATTATCATATTATTATGATGTGAACATTTATCAATCAGAATTTTTCCACTTTAATACAATGATAAATTGAACCATATTATAGCGCAATTTGATCCGTCCTCAGCAAGATTATATAACACATCGAATTTAACTTAAAACTAAACGCAATTTGATTTAGTTCGCAAAAAATTCAAACAGAATTATGGTTCACGGCACCAATATTATGATTAAATCCTGAACCCATTTTTCTGAGAATGTCCCGATATCTTCATTCAAATTTAATTTCTTAAAAAAACATTTAATGAATCACAAATTATAGGTTTTTCTTCTTCTTTTACCACGTACCATTCTTTTACCAACACTGGCGCATGTATCAGCAATTAAAAAGCTTGTAATTAGTCTTGGAAAAATAATTAAATTTTTAAAATTTGTTAAAATACTTCATTTATTCTTCCTGTAGTGTTTTGCTCTTAAATAGTAAAATTTTATGTTATACTTACAGTGCCATAAGTTACTGGTCCCATGCATCTTATATCCTCTGCCAGGAGTTGGATTAATTTTTTGGTTTCACTGTGAAACTTTAATTCGAAACTGAAATTAGTAAACTTCCTTACATCGCTTTCGGGTTCTCTCTGAAAATAAGCCTGCAGTTTTCCAAACCTATAGAAATATTTTCGATAAGTTTATTAATTCAGTTAACTATAAAAATCCATGACTTTTAAAATTATAACAAAATATATTAACACATTGTTTTATAATTAACTAAAAACTTTATAAGACCAAACCAGAGGTGGAAAGAGAGGTAAAAAAAAATAAAGCTATCCCTCCCGAGTGGGTTTAATTGTGTTTCTTGAGTTTAACTGGAAAAATCACACCATATTTCCAATTAAACTCAATCCATATTTCCAGTTAAACTTTTCCAGCACCATCTGAATTTTTTAAAGATTACTGTAGTTTTAATACCAAATCTATAAAAATTTGATCATTAAAGTGGTAGATTAAATATCTAATTAAAAAAGCAGTTTTCGATAAAACTTTTAAACCACATGATATTCTGGGTTTAAATAATAAAATATCGATAAAGTTAAATTCTGACAGTAATTATACAGTTGAAATTATTAAAAATACTTCAATTAAGCAATCCAAACTACTTGAATTGCCTTTATCCTCATATACTTAACATCATCATCATCATAGTTGGCCAGACAACCCAATGTGGGCCAATGCCTTCCTCTGAAGATTTTTTCCATAACGATTTCCGATTTATCTTTGATCTCCAATTCTTTTCATTCATTGCAAGAAAATCAGACTCCACCGACTCAGCTCATCTCAACCGCGGCCTTCCCCGCTTTCTTGTTCCAGTGAGTTTAAAAAGCAGCATCTTTTTTATTGTATTGTTATCACTCATTCGAATCACGTAGGCCACCCTATTCATTCTATTTATTTTTATGCATTTAATAATATCGTGTTGTTTGAACAGTTCAAAGTTAAATATCCTTCTCCAGTTCTCCAGTTATTGTTTTCATTTCCGCCACCAAATATACTCCGCAAAATCTCTTTCTCTCTAAATACAGTGGAGCATCGTTTATACGACGATCACTTATACGACGTTTACATTTATACGACGTTTTAGTGTGGTCCCAAATCATTCNTAGTATGAATATATATATATATATATAATATTATATATAGAAATCAATCAATGAATCAGTACTGAACAACACTACAAAATCATAAATCAAACACAAAACTTAAAGACAGATACCAAAATACGATTAATTCCACTTTTTTTAATATTTATTTATTAAATTTTTCATCCATGCCGGTAGCTATACTGAACAACAGCGCAAAATCATGCACAAAACTAAAAGACATATACAACACAATTAATTCCAATTAGTTTTTTAATATAATTTTTTCGTTGCAGGTGGCTTTACGTTATTATATTTTAAAAAACACGTTTTTATATCCCACCACTGAAGTAAAGATGAATTGAATGTATTGCTCACGCATTGCACTCATGATAGGAAAATTTTCTACAATCAAGCAATTTTCTCTGGAACGTATCCCTTGTGAAGGGTTGTAAAAAAAGCCATTTTCACAGTATCTAAATTAAAACTGCACATTATTGGTAAAGTTTAAATAGGTACAAAATATATAAATTGCATCTACATTAGTACATTTGGTATTTTCTTTTAAAACCTGCACCAATTAACACAATATCAGTCGTGACTTCTACCAAACTTTATTAACCATCATTGGCGTCAATAATAACATGACGATTTTCTACGTTTCTTCTAAGCGAATTAATACCATTTCTCTATTAAGTTTGCTTTTTAGTACTTATCCTTTTTTTTCATTTAATACTTATTACCAAAATTAATTAAGTATCATTGGTGTCAAAAATAATGCATGACGATTTTTTACTTTCCTCTTAAAGGAATTAGTATCATTAATCCATTAATTTTACTTTTTAGAACATGGTTTATTTTTTTTTCTAGCAATTAATACCTATTAATTGGGGGTACTGATCCAGGAGTTCTCTTGTCTTCTGAATAAGGTTCAAAATTACAAGGCTACGGAGTTGAACATTGATAGTCATAAACTCACATTTGGGTCGGCTGTTAAATGACGGTTATAAAATAAAATACCTATCATTAAAATTAATTGAACATCATAGGTTTTAAAAATATAATAGGGAGTTTTTACTATACTCTTAAATGAAACGAATTAGTTGTAATATTTCAATTATGATTTTTGATTTTTGTTATTTTTTGTTTCAATAGAAAATTTTACCAAAATTAATTAAGCATCATTGGCGTCAATGATAGTATGTCTATTTTCAATCTGGTGCCGTAAACCTAGTATGCTGCCACGTTTACATTACATATACTGCCACGTTACACGTCAACCACATTTACACGTTTCATTGAGTTTATCTGATGTAAAGAATAAGAAGCAATGAAATATGATAATAAAAATTATTAAATTTGATTAAAAAAGACAATAACCAAGCAAACATACTATAATTAAAAATTGGGGGGGGGACAGAATAATTTGCATTTTAATTTATATCAATGGCGTGAGCTCTAAACCAATGAGAAAATTTCATTTTTCAAACTTCTCACCCCCAATGGTCTAGTTGAAATTTTTGTACGATTTTTGCGGTCGGGGACTGAAATTGCCCCTTTCTCCCATAGTCCAAATTTCGGGATTATAGAACAAACGGTTCTGGAGTCTTAAAAGAGAGATACACGGAAGCAGTCTGACTTACTCTTTATTTTATTAGAATAATAAATTTTAATAAATCCATTGGGCCATTCTGCCACGCAATTGAAAAAACAACGTAAGTGCTTCACGAAAGATTTCAAGATGAACGACTTAAGAGCTATGAATTCAAAATATTTCAAATTTGTAATGCACCTACCTCGGTATTACATTAATAATATTGTGAAAGAAATTTGCTCATCTGTTATACACAAATAAGTTTACGTAAATTACAAGTTAAAATGATTTTCTCCAATCGATTATGCTTCGTCTCAGCTTATTAAAATTCAACGTAACTCACACATATTTCACCTCTGTATGAATTGCTATTGTCTGATATTCATTATCATTGTTTTGTTTTTTTAATTATATTTTTAAGATTTTTATCCTCAGTTATCAAAAATAAATAAATAAAAAGATAAAGGGGGATTATTGTTAAAGAAATTTCATTCATTTATGCTTCTAATATTGCATATATTTACATGAAGTTACTTGACCAGTGAGCAATTTAATATTTTGGATGTTTTAGATGCTTTTAAATTGTTCCAAAATAAAAACTGTGGTTCACGAATCAAACTTCCAAGATTTTTTATAGGTTTTCTTTTTTTTTCTCCTTGTGCAGGTAGATAGACAATAGAGGTTTCTTCTTTGGTACAAACGAGTTTAAGAAGTCAACATCTGTGCAGTTGTCATCTCTGAAAGAATTCTTTGAAAAATTTAACTTCTCTTTGGAACATCACCTTCACCATTTTATTCAAGTATAATAAAATTCGATTGAAGTGAATATCAGAAATTCACTTCTACCGAATCTATCAAAAATTATAGCAGTTACTTGAAATACAAAAATTATCGCAAGTACATTTTTCTACTGCTCCTAAAAGGTCACCTTGAATAAATAGCTACATTACGTTGTTTTTCAATTCCAGATAATTTGGAGATTCGACTGCAAATTAAAGATTTAGTCAGAGTCACGCCGAAATGCAATTTCAGAAAACTGGTAAAAAATTAATTTCTGAACAAAATAAAAATAAAAATTTCAATATGTAGTTATTCATACAAAAATGCCAAACATATAAAAATCTCATTTTTCGAATTTTTTTGTCGCTTACGATGGTTTTTTAATTGTACGGCAGTATATTTGTCGTATATTTTATAGCTCTTTCACGCCCAATTTTATATATTTATAATAAAATAACTTTTAAAAGAGTGCAGAATTACAAAAAGCGCACAGCCATACCAAAAATATTTAAAACGGGAAAAATTTGCAGCTAATTATTTTTCTATTTTTTCCTCCTTAATGTAGGTGTTTTATTACACTAAGAACCTTTACTCTACTTGGTGTAAAATAGTCGACACCACTTTTGTTATTCAGTAGCAATAAAATTTATAATTACAATAAGATAAGAAACACATATTGAGGGTAACGAGTGTGCGAACTCCTTGGCTAAGGAAGGCAGAGGTGCCGACCAACCTTGCACCATCATCACGCTTGCAGACGCAAATGCAGTTACAAGACGCAGACTTCCGCCCCATTCCTTCAGGAAACCCCTCATTACTGATTTTGATTGTTCCCGAATCTTAATATCAACAATTACTAGACTAAGAACAAACCACTTTAAAGGGATGAAAATTCTTTCCGACGAAATAAGAACTTATATTTCCTGCAAGAACTGCACCGATGTCCAACTTACCCCGGATCACATTCTCACCAGCCCTTACCCCATATGTTTTACAACTGGGTATGGTGCCACTGGCTTCAGAACTTCGCGAGATCTTTTAGAGTAATGATTAAGGCCCGGAATTTGATGACATTTGCATTTTTTTGCATTTTTTGCATTTTTGGACATTTTTTGTCTTTTAGAGCATTTTTTTAGATTTATAGGGCATTTTTCTTGAAATTTTGGGGCGTATATTGCATTTTAATGCATTTTTTAAAGTTTTCTGTTAATTTTTTACAATTTTTATTATTTTTTATCAATTTTCATTATTACACTGGCTTCCAAACAATAAAGAAAATCTATAGGATATTAGCAGGTGAAGCAACATCTTTTCAAATTGAAGAAGAATTGTCAGTAAGTTAGACCGTCTTTTTCAAGTACGCACCTATAACATCAGTAGACGTTGAAAGAAGCTTTTGCAGAAATGAAAATTTACTTTCAGACAAAAGACGCTCGTTTACATTTCAAATTATCAAAAAACACTTAATAATCCAATGTAATTCTGATATTTAGTAATATTATGAGGTGGAAGTTGTTATATCCATTAAAGTTTCTATACAAAATAAAAATATTTTGGTGTCAATATATTTTTCTTTTTTTTTGTTATTTTAAGATATAAAACATATTTTTCAAACTTTAATGAGCGTAGAACAAGTATTGCATTGCTTTATATCT